GTAAGTGCCAGGCTCTTGATGTTTATTGCTGCTGCTGTTCCACTGTATGTTTGGAGGAACGAACAGCCAGAGAGGCTAAGTGACTTGGCCAAGATCACACAGCTAGGAGGTGGCAGGGCTGTGATTTGTCATTGAAAATGTCTGATTGCAGTGCCTGGATCTTTACTCTGCATCGCTGTCTCCTCATGTAGAAACCCCGCTCTGATGAACAGATCTGTGCAAAAATTAACCTGGGTTGGGTGGGAGGGACAAGGTAGAGTTGCTAACTGGTGAATTAAGTGTAGGTGAACTAGTTGAGAAATTTCAGGGCTCATGACAACTTGGGGGGGGGGCTGGGAGAATGGCTGCCTGGATGGATCAATGATTGGATATAGAAGGTATTTAGCATTTAGGTATTGGCATTTAGAAGGTATCCACTTTGTGGTAGACTTTTGGGATGTAAAGATGAGAAGATGCAGCCTTGTCCTCGGGAATCCTAGTATATAGGGAAATCCAGTGTGTCACGTGGGTTTTGCCCAGCCCCTCTGTGTATTTCACCACAAGCCTTTGGTTTGTTCATCCCCCTTTCCCGACACAAGAACTTATAGGGGATGGCAGCCTGGATTCTTGCCACAAGCCTTGTTTTGCTCAGTTCCGTCAAAAACACCATGGGAGAGGCTGCTCGAGTTCCGTCTTGTACATCATTAAAGACTCTGGCTACCGTCTTTCACCTAAGACAAGTGCTTAACTCAGCCGAAGAAAATCTCCATATCACTGACAGGTCGAGGAGAAAAATGAGGAGAAAAAATTTGAGCTAAATTGTCTAAAATCCCAGCAGGATGATGAAAGATAATAGCCCCATTGGCCTGCATTGTAAGATCATAATCCCCACCGTGTATTGATAATTCACTTGGGTGTACTGTGTATCATATCTTGTTTAATTCTTGCAATGACTCTTCAAGGGAGGTGGAATAATTCTCATTTTACAGAAGAAGAAATAGGTTCTGAGAGGTTAAGACACATGCCCAGAGTCACACAGCTTAAATCTCAGGGCACAGATATGCACGTCTGATTGCAAAGTGCATGCTTTTTCAACTCTGCAACACTGCCTCTTTTTTTATTATTAATTTTAATTTCTCTTACCTTTTAAAATAAGTAATATCTGCAAACATTGCAAAATCCAAAGTAGGAACAGTTTATAGAACAAAGTCTCCTTCCCACAGCTCTCCCCATCCCCAAATTCATCTATGAGCACCCAGAACAGGAAGAGGTGAGAGGTCCATGGACTTTATCCTCCAGGAGTTTCCAGGTCAGCTGAGTAGCCAGGAAAAAAAGGATAGTGTGGCAGGTGCCTTCAAAACTGGATACAAATGCTTTGGAAGAACAGCTACAATATTTCCAGATATTAAAGAGGGAAAATTATGAATACTTGCATGGATAAGGTAATATTGGGCTTGTCATTTGAAGTGTGGAATTGAGCATAAGAAACTGGGAAGAAGATGTAAGAAGAATGTCATTAAGTTTATGCCTTTTCTGCCCTGGGGTCTTCCAGAGGCTGTTCTCATTTCTTGGAACAGATTTTCTTCTCTTGCCAGACCAATTCTTGTTACCTTTATAATACCAGCAGGAATGTTCCCATCCTTAACAAGCCATGCTAGTTTAGAGACCCCTCTTACTTGGACTTCGCTGTGTTTTCTTGGCACGTGGTGTGTTTTCATTTGGAGCACTTACCATGCTTTCAATTGTTTGGGTAATTCTCTGACTACGTCTGTCCCTCTCTCCTAGACTGGAAGTCCCATGCTGGCAGGGACAGTGTCTGTCTTGTTCCCTGGTGCATCCCTAAGCGCCCAGCTGAGAATCAGTGAACACAGCCTGGGTTCGGTTCTCACTCTGGCTCTCACTACCTGAATGACCTTGGGCAAGTGGATTAAGAGCTCAAATCTTAGAGCTTCATGTTGTTATATATGGTTTTTAAAAAAATGATAGCAAACACTTTTATAATATTTTCTGTAATGCTAGGGCCCAGTCTAAGTGCTTTTACGTATACTAACTCATTTAATATATAAAATAACTTTGTAAGTAGGTATTAGTGTCCCCATTTTGCAGATAAGAAGACTGAGACCCATGGAAGGCAGACTTCTGAGATGTTCTCCAGTGATTCCCACCTCCTAAACTCCATGCTCTTTTGTTATCTCTTCCTCTTGAGTATAACTGGACTGGTGACCGCTTTCTCTTCAATAGAATATGGAAAATATTATGGGATGTTACTTCCACGATTGGGTTACAAAAGATTTTGACTTTCGTCTTGCTGCGGACTCTTTCGATTGCCTTCTCAGTTTGGAGGCTTTGATGAACCACGCTGTTGGGTGAAGAGATACACGTGGCAAGAACCTGCGGGTGGCTTCCAATAATTGCGTAAGACCTGCGGCCCACAGTCCAACGAGCCTTGAGGAACTGAATGATGCCAAACTGGAGTGAGTTGCAGGCAGATCCTCTCCTAGTAAACCATTAAGAGGATTGAATTCCTGGTTGATACTTTAAACCTGGAAAAGAGGGCCCAGCTAAGCCATGCTCATGTTCCTGACCCACAGAAACTGTGCAGTTACAGATATGTTGTTTTAACCCCCTTCGTTGTGGGGTTATTTGTTACTCAGCAATAGATGAGTATTACAACAAGAAAGAGTAAGTCCTTTTCCCCAAATCACAGTCAGTAGAGAACCTGGATTTGAACTCAGTGAGTTAAGCTCAGGAAAAGTTTATGCTATTGAATACCACATACTAATACAGTAAGGGATACTTCTGATACATATGTCAAAAGTTTCTCTAGGGGTTAAATGACACCGTGGATGTAAAATGCTTAGCAGAGCCCGTGATACATAGTAAGTGCTTAATAAATGTCAGCTATAATTATCACTATCTTCATTGCTATTCGGCGTCCTCAAGACACAGGCAAAGAAAAGGGAAAGCCTCATAAACACGAAGGTGAAAACATGCTTGTAGTAGCCTTAAGAGAGTAGCTGTTTCCCTTCATTAAGAACCATGCCAAGGAGGGTATTTAATAAAACATTCATGAGCCACCGCTACCTGGGAGGCTGAAATGGCAGCCCCCAGGTGACCCACAACTGCAGGCAGAGGCACTTCTTTGGCCTCTCCCTCCCCTTTCTAGCCTCTCCAAGGAAGCCCCTGAGAGCACAGAGGGAAGGAATTGTCTGAAACTAATGAGACATTATAGTTGGACAGGAATAGGGTTGAGAATTCTAAACAACACTCTCAGGATGCAGTTTTCCTCCAGAGCCAAGGCATCGGGAACAGAACCTGTCTGGGCTGTTTTAAGCTACTTCCCTCCTATTTTTTTTTTTTTTTTTGGTGGTGGTGGTGGGGTGATAGCCACAGGACAGAGGATATTTCTGGAGGCTGTACCTTGGGAAAAACAGTCTACCTTACTCTGTATCCTTCAACCCTTCCCAGAAATCAGGACCAGGGAATTCCATGGGATGATGTGTAGGGGCTGAGGATACCACATACTGATAATTCATTCACGGGGACCCAGCAGAAGGGAGGAGGACATGTACCCACACTCGGAGGTTTGTCATCTCCCTAATCATAGCAGGCTCTGATGATAGAAAAGTCATGACATTATTAACAGGAAGACCTAATCCCAAAACAGGATTGCACTGTATCCTCCTCAAGAGTAGAAAAAAAAAATGTGTAATATATTGTGGCTCCCTATTTATCTGCCCCACTAGGAATTTGAATGAAGCTGAATTGCCCATGTTTACATAATGTCCTTTATTCGCTTTTCTCAGTTAAATTTTTTTTTTTTTTTTTTTTTGAGACAGAGTCTCACTTTTGTTGCCTAGGCTAGAGTGAGTGCCATGGCGTCAGCCTAGCTCACAGCAACCTCAATCTCCTGGGCTCAAGCAATCCTTCTGCCTCAGCCTCCCAAGTAGCTGGGACTACAGGCATGCGCCACCATGCCCGGCTAATTTTTATATATATATACATATATTAGTTAGCCAATTAATTTCTTTCTATTTATAGTAGAGACGGGGTCTCGCTCTTGCTCAGGCTGGTTTCGAACTCCTGACCTCGAGCAATCCGCCAGCCTCAGCCTCCCAGAGAGCTAGGATTACAGGCGTGAGCCACCACGCCCGGCCTCTCAGTTAAATTTTTAGTATATCTATCATCTCTGATTCTACTTTTATGCCTCTGCTGATAGAGACCTAGTTTTCTCCTTGGTAAGTATATATACACTAAATAGTTTAAGGCTCTTTATATATGACTAATGGCCTTTAGGAAAATACAAACGCATTTACAACATTTTAAGAACCCAAGAGATTCTCCTCAGTTTGAAGATGCTGGTGACTGGTCTGTTAGTAGCATGCCTTGAAATGTCAAAACTTATATCCAGAGAAGTTGATGCTTGAATTCTCCCCTTATTTATTGTTGCTTCTACTTTTTCATTATATGGTGTGGGTTGTTATGGTGATGGGCAGCTAGAATATTGAGAAGCTCTTGGAGAAAATATATCTATGTGAAATGATCCATTTCTAACTCAGGCTGGGGCTGGCAAATATTCTCATATGGCCCAATCAGTCAAGCATCATCGGGTTAATAAAATATCTAAATGTTACTTGATGTATACAATTTGTCATCCTTACAGTATTTGAGACCCCATGGTTGTGGGAAGGGGAAGGGTCCTTCAAAGATTTAGTAGGAGTTGGCAAACTATGACCCACAGGGCAGATACAGCCGGCCACTTTTTTGGTAAATAAAAGTTTATTAGAACACAGCCACACTTTTAGTTGTTTACACAGTATCTAAGATTGCTTTTATGCTGTAGCAGTAGAGTTGAGTAGTCACGACAGAAACCATATGGCCTGCAAAGCCTAAAATATTTACTATCTAGCTCCTTAAGTAAAAGTTTGCCAACCCCTGATGGGGGTCATAACCACGAGAGAAGCAGAGTCCTGTTGCAATGAAAGTCTAGAAAGATGATGAGTTCAGGAGACCTGAACTAATAGCCCCATCTCTTTGATAACTAGCAGGGTGAACTTGAACACACCTATGCCCTACCTTGGCCTATCTCCTCATTTGTAAAATGCATATATTTCTGTCCACAAGCTGATATTCTCCTTTAGGGCAGGGGCCATGAATCTTTAACCTTTCTTTCATTCCCTCCTTCATTCTCAAAGGAGTGTTGCTGATCTAAGTAGTGGGAGCTGAACAAAAGCTTGTTGAATGGATGTTGTCCAACATTATTATCTCCTTGTTGTCATTAGGCTCAATAGTGCACACAGTCCGGGATGTATAGCACACTCCGGGCACGAGAGGCTATTTTAGACAAGTCCATTTTGGCTAGAAAGCTAAAGCCAGAGAAAATAGGAATTGGTTCACTTGTTCTTCACCTCAATCTTTATGTGGTGGATTCCCTTTGTTTCGGTTTAGCTCTTTCACTTGCAAGAAACAGACTCCCTCAAGTTACCTCAAAAACAGAGGTTTATTATTAGGAACTGTGAACTGTAATTAGAATTGGAAAGTTGTCAGCACCTACGGCTGTTTTAGGAACCAGAGTCTTTCTCTCTCCCCCTTTCTCTCTCTCTTTCATCCTTTCTCTTGTTCTCTTTAATTACTTGTTCAATTCTCCTTTCTCTCCATTGGCTAGTGTCCTCCCATTCTTCACCTTTTCTGCTTACACAGAAACCAGGTTTATTCATGGTTTTGTCTGCCATTTCTCAAGGTGTCTTTGCATCCTCAGCTCCTCTGCTGTCTCAGTTTCCCAGCTTTACAATTCTCAATATCCCAGAGGAATCTGATTGGCCAAATCTATCTTTTCACCCCACACGAGACAGGTCATGAGTCATTCGCCATCACACTTGGGTCATGCGGTCCACACGGTGCCCAATTAGCTAGCAGGGTGGGAGGAGGGTGCTGAAGCAAGAGGGAATCTGGGGCAGGCAGCTCCCTTAGATGGGTGTGTGGGAGCGAGCACTGACTGGCATCCCTAATGTGAGTCTCTCTTTGCTCCTCCTTGTTCCTTTTATAGACTCTGCCTAATATCAGATTCAGAAAAAGAACTTATTACCTTTGTGGCATGTGAGTGTTGTCAATTCATGGTAGGAGACCGATTTCACAAACCTCCAGTTTGTTTTCTGACTTTGGGGCCAGTGGAAAGCCATGGGATTTTCAGATGTGGGATCCCCACAATGTCTGCGAGGCTCCCCCTCCTTGCAGCCTGTGATGTTGGGCCCTTCTGCAGAGATAAGGCTGGGATCCATGGCTGAGCACCTGAACCTTCTGGAAAACGAGACAGAGAAACTGGGTTCAAGGAGGACTGGTATCAGTAAGGCCTCTGAGTCCTGTTAGTCATACAGAACCCATCCCTCACTACCTAAGGCTAAATAGAATAGGACCTTTTAATTCACCCAAGAAGGAATCCAAGCAACGTAGGTGAGGAATTGGTGTCCTTTGGGAGACCTTTCTTATCAGCTTCTTACTGCCACTAGAGCTTGCTATCCTCATGATTCTCCTCCAGCTTTTCTCCTCGTTTTTCTCACTAGGTATTCAATTCATTGGGTTCTTTTCCTTGGAAGGGGCAAACTAATAAACGTGATAAATTACCTGTCATGGGGAGAGAGTTGGGAAGCCCAAGTGATGCCTCACCTCTTGCTTTACCTCTTGCTCTCCAACTCAACAGTGTCAATTAGAGACCTTGTAAGCTAATCGAGAAACAGATCCGGGCTAATTTAAGTGGAAAATGAATTTATCAGAAGGATATTGGATCACAGAATCAATGAGAAGGCTGGAGAATCCAGCTCAGAAGAGGAAAGGAATGTGCTGGTATTAGGAGTGTGAAGTGGATGACATTCTTGAAAGCATTGTCACTCTGGAAGAAGTAGCGTCAACCACTTTTCCCTCTTTGTGACACTCCACTCAAGCCCCATGAAAGCCCCATCAGGAAACGGCTGATCTGCCACACTTGGGTCATAAACTCCTGGGTGAGGGAGGTAAATTGCCTAGACTTTTGGTATCATTAAGACTAAACCCACTGAAGGAGGGATTCTCCCAAAAGAAATTTTAAAGCTATTATTAAAGCTAGAGGTAGTGGATGCTGGGCTACCAAAAGCCGAGAAATAGTATCTGTTTTGGAGCAGAGAACATAACAGCAGAGATCTCAAATAACAGGGGAGATGATGGCCCTGTGGGCAGGAGGCTGCCCCGTTCAGATCACATTTTATCAGAATCGGATCACATTTTGTCGGACACTTCACACGTTGTAATAATTGAGTGGTGGTCTTTGCTCCTAAGACAGTTTCTGTTCGCTGAAGCTAGACCAGCGTGTAATCAGAGCAGATAGACATCTTCAGTCTGTGATTTGATGAGTTCTTAGAAACCTCCCCTGAAGCTTCGCTTTCACTTTCGCTTTTGCCCAGCGCTATTGCTTTTGCCCCTGGCCACTTCTTGATGCCTAGAATGATCCCATGTTGGAATCATCTCTTTGGAGTCAGTATTGCTGTCTCCAGTCTCCATATTCAAATGGAAAATGCCTCTGGAAAGAGCAGCATCTGAGATGGAACACGTTCTTAGCATACTTGCATTAATCAGTTCAAGAGAATAAATGTTGATCACCTACTGTATACCAGACACTATGCTGTGGGTTGGCATATAATGGGGCAAACAAGATAGAAGCAGTTCCTGAACTCATAGACCTTATAGGCTAGCAGGAAGGGCAGATACGTAAAAATGCAATGATAATAAAGTGATAAGCGGCTTGAGAGCCTAGGCCTCAGGAGGAAGGGGAGGTAACAGGCACAGAACAGAGGGGGACAGGAGAAGAAAAGGTGAGCTCTGTGATGTTTGCAGAGTGAGGTGCAATTCTTCCATGCCCCACCTTCTGCTAAGCCTTCTCCAAGGTGCTGAAACACCTCTCCTGGGCCGCTCTGTGCCTTCTCCTTCTATCAGAGCTCAGTGTCAGGATGCCAGTACAGGGTGTCAGACCTGAGAACTGCAATTAGCACTTCTGGCAGATTGCATGTGTTTAAAAATGAGTAAGAAAACCCTTGGTTATTCCAGAGGCTGCCAACCAGCACAGGATAAGATGAAGCAGACTGCTTTGCCCAGATGTTTGCTCTATAGCTTGCAATCAAATATTACTATAGTATCCTTTTTCTTTCTATCACATCATCAATTCTTATTATTTGGGCATCTAAACATTTTTGCATGTGCATCAGACAACTGGGTTTTGGAGTGAGTAGCTTCAAAGAATGAATCTGTCAAGTCTATGATATATGAGTTTAAATCTTTTCTTGCCTGTATTTTTTTTTTAATTTTAAGGGATCTATTTACCCCTTTTCATACTCCTCAAAGCATGAAGCTAATGTGCTTACAATAACAAAATTAACTCATCACTTACTAACTGTTAATTTAATTTTTAATTGTCCATTAAATCAGGCTCTGAGATGTTTATATTTTAATTTTTAATGTCAGGGAGTTAAATTGCTTTCCAAATGAAGGTTAACAAGAGGGGCTATTTGTGACTCTGGAAACAAGGGAAATCATGAAATTACAGGCATGATGCTGCTATTTGCCAGGGGACGGGGTGTGGAGTGTGCACAAAGCATGAAGAATTAGGATAATCATAAGTATTTCATACTCAGTATGTGCTAGATTCTATGCTGTGCTTAAGGTGCATCATCTCACTGATTCCTCAAAAAATCCTATGAGATAGCTTCTCTTCTTATAGCCATTTCATAGATGGGAGGCTGAGGCTTAGAGAAGGGCAGACAGGAGCTTCAGGCTCACAGCCAGTAACGGGATGCTCCAGGAAGGGATCCACTCTCCTCTCCTCCAATTCCAGCACTCTGAACTAAAATGCTACACTCCCTGTTTGAAGATGTTGCACTGAGGAAAGCATGGGGAAAGACAGGAGGGTGGGAAGACATCGTAGTAGAATGAGGCAGGGGGGAGACCTTGGAGGGACACAAATGGATTCCCCAAAGCCAGCTCTTTGGGCCCCAGGTTAAGAATTATTAGACATGATGGTCTGGCAGGTCCCATTCGGGCTGTTGTATTCTCATGCTCTGTGACATTTCACCTGCAGCTAAGTGCTATTCATAGCTGAACTTCTCGTGGCCAGAGAAGTTGAAGCTGTGGGCATCGCTGCTGCAAGGAACAAAAAGGAGAGGTCAAAGCAATGCACCCCTTTTGGGTCTTTTCTCTTTTTTTGTTTTATTTTTTGTAGGACAAAGAATACTGGAAGATACAAGGTCTCATGGCTTACATAGTTGGGCAAACAATGCTGTGTGTACAGCTGTGTGTGTGTGTGTGTTGATCAGCAGTAAGCAAGGGAACTGGAAAGCTGGGAGAAAAATATTGTAGAAGAAAGAGCCAGAGAGGGGTCAAAACCTACATCAACTTCTAAAATTATTATTTTTTTAAGAATATCTCTCCGGTAACCTTTTGAGAGTATCACTAAACATCCCTAAGAGGAGTGACACTTTATCAGCCAACCCCGTACTGGGAATTAGACGATGGATAGCTGAGAACTAGACAGTTCCTCCCTCTGCCTCGCCCTCTCCCTCCTGCCCACCATTTCCTTTTCTCTTTCATACTTTTTTCTGCTAAAAAAAATACTCACTGGGCATTTTCTAATTCAGGCACTGAATTAGGTGCTGTGGATACAGCAGTGCAAAAAGTGGCCCTGTTTCTACATATTGGGAGTTTACAGTCTAGAAGTTTCCCAAGAACATGAAATATTGGAAAATCATCATGTGTTTGATCTCTACCTTAGGGGAGGGTGTCTTCACCCTCTCATCCTGAGTGGTATCACAACTGAAAGAGAATGTTATTGCCAGAGAGATGCCAACCGTGTCACAGCTATGCTGAGATGTGATTTTCCCATGACGCCTCAACAGCAACGTAGCACAGGGGCAGAGTATAGGGACTCTGGGAGCTGAGTGCTGGGCCCCAATCCTGCCCTCTCCATTTCTAGCTCTTGGACTTTGGGCAAGTTACCTAACCTCTCTGTGCTTCAGTTTCTTCATCTATAAAGTAGGGGTAAGAGCAACCTCAGAGGGCTGTTGTCAGCATCTCAGAAGTCAATATTTACGAAGTGCTTAGAAAAGTGTCTGGCACACAGCAAATGCTAGACAAATGTTTGTTAAACAGATAACATGTATTTTGCATGTCCCTACATAGCCTCTGGCTTAATAGCCATGCCCACACTTAGCTGAGTTCCCCTCGTGCCTTTTTGCACATGGCACTGGGGAGATGATAAGAAGGCAGTAGGGCATCCAAGCTAACTTCTGCTTTTCTCTCCTACCTCCTCACGAGCAGGCTCCAGCCACAGCCAGCCTTGCTCTGTACAAGTATTGCCCAAGGACATTTGTTTTGCAGAATTCTTGGAAACATTACTGGACAGTTGGGTTGCCTGGGTGACATGGATCATTTCCTTATATGCTTGATACCCGTGGCCCAGATTCTTCGCTCCTGGGAATTAAATGTTTATACTCTAAACTATGCTCTAAATAAATAAGTTGTATGGATATAGAATGTATGCATGTTTGGGAATATTAGCCTGGTGGCCAGCTTTCCTGGGACCCCAGGTGTCCCTGGCTGTCCCTGTACTGAGGAGAACATCAGAGAAGGTCTAAACGAATAAAAGGACCAAATAAAGCCAATATTCTGATCCCACCCCCCGAGAGCACTTCCAGGCCCATCCAAGGGCTTCTGAAAAACAAGTGAGTCCTAAAAGGAAACAAGAGGAGCAGTCAATGGGGCTTGGAGGTGTTGGCTAAAGTCCCACTGTGATTGAATTTTGTATTTTACCCTGGGCTGGGATGGTTTCCAGAGACCAGTTTGTGAAAACAGCTATATTGAGCCAACTCTGTTTTCCCAAATAACTGTGAAATTCAGAGCCCTCTTCTGACTTGGCAGGGACTCAGAGAGGAAAAGGGCTCTCGTTGAATGACACACCAGCTTGGAGTCTAATACTACTCAGTTTCCCAGATTAATACAGAAAGATGGGCAGAGAAAAGATATTTGCTTAAACCAGTGTGATCTAGTAGAATGACTGTGGGTTTGGGATTGAGGCATCTTGAGTTTGAATCCTGGCTCTGCCACTTATTAGGTGAGTATTTCTGGGAAAGTCACTCATCTCTTTAGGCCTTAGATTCATCATCTGTAAAATGGGTGTATTATTCAGCTTAAGGTGTTTATGCTGCAGTAACAAACAGACCCTAACCCCCAATCTTGGTAGTTTATACCAACAAAGGTTTATTCCTCACTCATTATATTTTGGCTGTGGGACAGCCCCCAGCTATGGTTCTGTGGCTCTTCTCCAAGTGTTTTCTTCATTCTGGGGTTCAGGTTAAGGAAGCATCCACTTACTATTTTGGTTTTCAGCCTAGGGGATAAGATAAGAAATGATGGTGAAGTCATGCAATGTCTCTTACGCTTTTGTTCATATGTCCTCTATAATTATGAATGCTCACATTTCATTTGCCCTGGGGGCAGGGATGTTATGCTTCTTCCAGGGAGAGGCAGTGCAAGTTACATGGCAGTAAGCAGGGTCATATAACCCACCCTTTTGAAGAGAGGGCAGCAAATATAATAATTTGGAGCAATAATGTAGCCTACCACAATAGAAATAATAATGCTTCCCTCTTCCCAGGGTAGTTACGAAGCCCAAATGAAATCATGCACATGAAAGTTTATTACAAACTATAAAGTCCTGTGTTCATGCTACTCATCCTCTTTAATGCCAAGGTCTCCATGGGTCTCATAAAGGTTGAATGGAGACATATTTTGTGCATGGCTCTATTTGTTTTCAAATATACTTGCCATATATTTTGAGGTGATAATTTCAGGGTCAATTTTACTTCACACAGCCCTTTTTATGGGATCCCAGAATCCAAAGAGTTTAGTTAGTTTTGCATGCAGATGAATGTCCAGCCCAATATTTCAGGAATTCATGATAAAGAATTGTGGAATTGCCTGGCTTTTTCTCGCTAAGAATGATAGGTTCTCCTGAAAGGAACTGGGCTTTGTCAGTTGAGATATGACCCTTCATTGTCAACTATTCATTGATTGACTCTTTGTTCTTACTACTGGAGAAGGCATTTACAGAATCACATCAGAGACTGGAGAAAGTCCCCATGGACAATTGATTAGGGAAACTGGAGACCTATAAACTTGAGAAAGGAATTGAGAAACATAACACCAGGAAAAAACTCATTTAGATGTATCACAGGCCTTCATTAGTTGATTAATTTACTCAATCTATTATATTCAGTGCCTGCTATATCTTAGGTGGTCAATATTCAAATAATGTGTTTATTCATTTGTTTATCTGGCAAATATTTATTGGACAGTTACTCTGTGACAGGCACTGTTTTAGGTACTGGAAATGTATCAGTGAACAAAACGCTCTGAACTCTTGCCATTAGGGAATGGATCTTAGGATAGAGGACTCAGGAGATACATAATAAATAAAACAAATATGCAAGGGAAATATGTGGTATAATGCCACAAAAGTAAGAAGATAAGAGAGGATAGAAAATGTTAAAGGAGGGAATGAAACTTTAAATAGGGTATCTGGAAATGTCTGGCTGAAAGAGTGACCTGGAGGAGAAGGTGAGGAAGTGAGCCTTGGGCAAGACCAATTCCGGCAGAGGAAATAGCAAACGTGTGCTCCATGAAGCAGGAGGATGCCTGGAGTGCCTGAGGAACTGCAAGGAAGCCACAGGGCTGGTCTGGCATCAGCTGGAGGAGATTCATAGAAAAGGATGTCAGGAAGGAATGGGGGCTCAGATCATATAGGTCCTTCAAGGCTACTACAAGGATTTAAATCTTTTGCCAAGTAAATAAGAAGGCAAATTTAAGGTTTTGACCAGAAGACCAACAAGAACTGAATTATATTTTTCAAAGGTTGATTCCGGCTGCTAGTTTGGCAATGGATGGAAAGGTGGCCAGGATAGAATCAAGGGAGACTTTTTACAAGACTTAATGCAACCATGTAAGTGAGGAATGGTGGTGGCTCAGACCAAAGGGTGATGGTCATGGGTGGTTAGATCCGGAATATATTTTAGAAGTAGAGCTGCCAAGATTTGCACATGAATTAGATGTCAGTGGTGTGACAGAAAGAAGAAGAAAACAGGACTTTTCCCTCCTGGGCTAATAGACACCCACACATGCAATCATAAGCAGAAAAGTAGTGATAGAGGTCTAGAGAGGTCCTCCTGGGGTCCCTAGCATAAAAGTAATGAAGATACCTTAGCTGAGTTTTGATGGATAACTGGAATTTTCCCAAGGAAGAAGAGGTTCTAAAAATGGTGCTATGGTTTGAATGTGTCCCTTCAAAACCTTGTGTGTTGAAAGTAATGGTCAATGTGATATTAACAGGTGGAGCCTTTAAGAAGGGATTAGGTCATGAGGGCTTTTCCCTATTGAATGGGATTAGGTGTTCTTATAAAAGGGCTTGATGGAGGGAGATCACCCTTCTTGCCCTACTTCCAGGTAAGGATGCAGCATGATGATCCTTACCAGATGCCAGCACTTTGATCTTGGAGTTTACAACTTCCAAAACTGTGAGGAAATGAATTTCTATTCTTTCTACATTACTCAGTCTTGGGTATTTTGATATAGCAGCACAAATGGACTAAGACAAATGGTATGTGCAGAGTAGAAGCCATCTAATGTTGGTTGAGGGAAAATTGTGAGTTAGGAGGTGGTCAGAGATGAGGCTAGAACAGTGGTCAGAATTCATGCTTCGGAGCATCCTGTAGGCTAACGTGCATAACTAGGACCCTTCGTGTAGGGGATGTACTTTGGTTTTAGCAACAAGTGACATGGTCAGATTTAGGTTCCTAAAGTGTCCTCCCTGGCAGTGTGAAGAGTAGTTTGGAGTGAAGGCAGGGATGAAAGTTAGATGGCTCTGGAGAGAGGAGAGGTGGATGAGGCTTGACTCAAGGAAGCAAAATTGGGTTGAAATACCTTGACATCCAATCCTAAAAGGTTTCACAGCCCTGAGAAGTAACAGGATTGAGTCATGAGGCAGGGCTCCAAAGACTACACTGTACTGGCTGCACCACTTCATTCCATATAATTAATAGAGGCTTCTTACCCTTTTCCAGAACTTGAAGGGAGGCAGCATTCAGGTGAATGTTGGAGAAAGTGACCCTTTCAGAGGACAAGGGGCAGAAACACAAATGTAAGCTACAACAGCATGTAGCATGAAAGGATGCTAGAGAAGTTCCAGATCCATATTTTTAGCTGCTTACCCACAGTAGGAACAAAAATTATTCTTCTTCAGGTATCTGTCTATGGAAAGTAAGATAAGACGCTGGGTGGCTGTACTTGGGTCATATGCCCACCTCTCGAGCAATCACAGTAATCAGGAAAACATAGAGTGTGATTGGCTCAGCCAGGGTTATCTAATAACCCCTGTAGACCTGGAGGAGAGACTCTCTTCACAGAGAAAGGGGGACGAGGGGGCTTGCTGGGTAGACCCAAGACGATAGCATCCATGGGGTTTAAAGAAAGGTCTCAGGAAGGACGTTGGAGGAGAACAGATGAATCAAGAGTGAAGTCTGTGAGTCAAGAGCGAACACTAGCTCCATTTCCTGGCTGCCCATATAGTCTGCATCAGAGTCACACAATTATCATTCAATTCCAAATTAAGCAACGAGCTCTCAAACTGCAGAGTCTTTCTTAGGTAATTCTACATGCCAGAATAACCTGCCCTCTCCCAAATTCGGCCTCACCCCAAACTCAACACAAATGTCCCTTCCTCTATGAAATGTTTCTGTCATCACCAAGGCAATTGATGCCATCTCTCCTCTTGTTGCTGTGGCAGTTCATTTATACCCCTGCTGTAATACTTAGGATGTCGCGTTGTACTTTGCCATTCACTGTCTATGAGCTTTGCCTCTTAGACTGTGAGCTTGTGGAAGATGACGACTATATGTCTCATTTGCTGTCGTATCCAAATCCCATGAACAATAAAAGGCACATAATACACTAAAAAATGATAGCTCAAAATGGTGGTTTCCTTTTCCTGTTTTGGGACTGGGTTGATACAAAATCAGTGGGCAAGTAAGATGGCATACTAAATATTTGGAGTGCATCGATGGTTTTTGTCATCAGCTCTTGATTTGGAGACATGGCTTTTCTCCTTTTCCCTGATTAATATATTTTCACCTGACTAATCAGATCATTCCACACCCCTGGCCATAGATGTGAATCAGACCTGAGTCCATGATCCAAGACAGGTAAATTGGGGAAAAATGCTTTCTTTCTTTGTATCATTGTAAGACTGAGGCAGCCATGGGGCAATATTGCCATCAAATGCAAAAACCTGATAATGAAGCTAGACAGAGAAAAGATGTTTTTGATAGAAGAGGAGAGAAGAAGGGAGGAAGAGGAAGGAGAGGAGGAGGAATGAAGGGAAGAAGAGTAAGGGGAGGAGGAGATCAGATGGCATAATTTTAATCCATGCATCCAGTTGACCTTAAGTATATAAAATCCTAGGACTTAGTTACCTGAACCAACAAATTCTCTTTTTGCTTAAGCTAAATCCAGCTGGACTTCTGCCATTTGTGACTGAAAAACGTCATGATTAATACAATATTATAGCTGCTTCTTCAGGATGCACAAATACTATTGGAATATAAAAGGCTCTGACAAGTCCTGCAGGAGGGAAATAAATGTCACTTTGTTTTTGTTTAGCCAAGTGTCTCCAAAAGTTATTTGATCACTAATTCCTTTTTTCCAGTAACAAGTATTGATATCTGCAGGTCTACTATTTTTACACCTTGTGAAATATCAGCTAAAACACTTGATATCTTAGGCTAGGAGGCCATATATTTGATAATGCAAATGAAGTTGCCTAGTGTGTACAGGGTTTGGATCCATGACCCAGGTCAGCTTAATCGAGAGCTACTATCCTGAGTTGGGGAAATTCTCTTGTCCCAGAAGTCTTTGCAGCACTCGCGTTTATAATACTAGTAACAGAATAATAGTAGTATTAGTAATTATCATTATCACTACTAATAATTAAAACAACTAATATTTGTCAAGCACTTACTATGTGCCAGGCACAACACTGAGCACTTTATATAAATTATCTCATTTTAAACCTAAGGCATGAAACCTTAAGAATCCTAGATGAGGAGGTTGGAAAAGCCATCTCAGACATTAGCCTAGGCAAAGAATTCTTGAAGAAGACCCCAAAAGCAATCACTGCAGCAACAAAAATAAACAAATGGGACCTGATCAAATTAAAAATCTTCTGCACAGCCAAGGAAACTATCTTAGAGCAAATAGACAACCTATAGAATGGGAGAAAATATTTGCTCTCTACACTTCGGATAAAAGTCTGATAACAAGAATCTATCTAGAACTCAA